GTGATGAAATCCCTTACCTTATCTTGATTGGGGTTTTGCCCTTAAGAATGTTTTAAGTGTATGCCAAATCAAGTGCTACAATCACTTTGGTGAATTCCTACACTAAATGAAATGCAACCCTAGAAATTAAAAGCGACTAAAAAGGATGATAAAAAGAAAATCTTTTTTTTTAATTATGGTCGACAACAATCAAATGTAAGAAGGGGGAAAATTGTTTGAGTTTATTATCTTGTTAGTTAATATCTAAGTGAAAGATGAATTTTATTATGGTCAACAAAAATAAAATCTTTTTTTTTAAATCCTAATTGTCTCTAATTGTGAAGCTAGCTAAAGAGGGTGGAATTGAAAACTAGAAAGAAGACTTACCCGAAAGCAATGCTCCAAATTCTTGATCTTCAATCCAAGATTTTCAAGCTCCAAGCGGTTCCTTCACAAGAAAAATACACAAGTTAAAGAATCAAGTTAATAAAATCCTATTTTAGCACCTTCCCCGGCAACGGCGCCAAAAACTTGATGCGGCATAATTATGTACCAAAATTGCAAGTGCACAATTTATCAAGTTATAGTATAAAAAGATATCGATCCCACGAAGAAGGTGATTTTAAGAGATTATTAAACTTGGTTCTTATATTTTGTGCGTGACAATTAGGAATAAAGAATAAGTGTGAATGTGATTTTGTTGAGTGATTGTTATGAATATATGCAAAAGATAATAAATTGAATTTTAGAGGAGAGAAGGAAGAATTAAAGAATAAATGAAATCACAAGGCAAGAAATATGAATTAATAAAATCAAGAAATAAAACCAAAAATGAAAAGAAAATTTAAGAAAGTTAAGATGAAGGATTCAAAAGAGGTAAGAAATCTAGAATATAATCCACTAACCAATTTCAATTACAAAATATAAACTATTCTCTTTTTATCATATTTCAACTTAGATTTATTAAGCATAGATTATCAAACCATTTAAGGAAAGTGTAACCTATCAAATTATCATCTAAGTTAAAATTACTATTCATGATAAGAACAACAACATGATAATAATCCTAGAATTCATAAGCATAACCTATCAAACCATTTAAGATAAGCATAGATTATCAAATTCTTCTTCTACCGATTAGTTCTCTAGTTGATTATCCTAAACATGAACATTTTAAGTGCAAGAGAATAATTCATACAATATAAAGGAAATTAGACTAGTTTCATATAATTCTAAACTTCCTACAAGAATTAAATTCACATCTTTAAGAAATAAAAACAAGAAAAAGAACTAATTACAAAAATAAAAAGAAAAGAAAAATCTAAACTATGAAAAAAAGAAAGAAATGCAAACCTTCAAATAATTCTCCATCTTCATCTTCATCTTCATCATCCAATAAAGAGAAGAAGAGAAAAATTTAAAGTGGTGAAAAAATTATTATTATTAATTGCAACTAAAGTTACAATTTTTGGAAGGCCTTCTCAATTAAGAGTAGCCCTCCTCTCCAAAAAGAGTTTACAAAATTTTTACTCTCTAACCCCTCACTCTCTACCCCTATTTATAGTAATCTTCAATGAATATGAGTCATTGGATTTGTCTTGAGCCCCAAGCAACAATCTCCACCTTTGAATTTGCTTTTTTTGTTCTTCTCTAGCCCAAATATAAGAAGCCCAATTGATTTTCAAAAATAAATGAAAATCAAGTTCTTTGTAGCAAGTCTGGCCCATTAAAATCAAAACTGCAGCAAACAATTTCTGATTTCATTTGATCAAGTCCGGTCTTCATTGTAAGAGCTTGTATTTTCGGCCTGTTGTTGTTTGCACAATCAAGTCCGGTTTCATTGCAACAAATTTCATTTTTCATTTTTTTGCTTTTGAGTCCGGCCCATCCAATGCAATCTGCAGCAACATTTGATTTTCAAACATCCGGCCCACTTTTGTATTAATTCCCAAATCTGCAGCTTGTCAAAGCCTAGTCCGGTCCACATTAAAATCTTCATTTGATTTTTAAAAAAAACATCACAAGTCCGGTCCAGCAGCAAAGCCTCTTTGAGGTCCGGTCCCAAGTTGCAGCAACAAACAAATCCGGCCTCCATTTTGCAAATAAGTCCAAAGCATCAATCAAATGTGAAGTCCGGCCCATGAAGCTTCCAAGTCCATGCTATTCACTTGATTTTCAAAATTAATTCACCGGCCCATTGGAGTTTGCAGGCCCAAAGTTTCAAGACCGGTCTTCATTTCCTTGGTGTATTCTTTTTTTTTGCTTTGGGCCTTCAAAAAGTCGAAAATTGCACTTAGGCTTCTTGAATCATTTCTTCATTTAATCAATGGGTTTTTGTTGAGAGATGGGAAGTTGAGATTTATTCTTCATTAATCTGCAATTAAAAGATAAAAACAATTATTAGTGGTATATTTATTCATATAAAATAGATAATGAGGGTATAAAATTATAATAAAATCAACGAAGAATAGATCCAAATTGAAAAAGATAGAGTCTTTACCAAAAATATCCCACCTTTATCACCAAACGAAGCCCTAGCCGAACTTCCAAAACAATCTACTCCTCCAAATAGTCCAAGCGTAGCCCGAGCTCTGATACCAATTATTGTGCGTTGTGCGGAATCCAAACAACCAAACGTGCTTCGAGGAACCAAATACCAAACGTCGAGATAAAGGCCAAATCAATCAAATCAATGCCACAAACACAAACAAACCAATTTTAACGTGGTTCGGCAAGTTGCCTACGTCCACGGCGCAAGAAGGGGATGGCGTTTTCACTAATAGAGAAGAAGAGTACAAATTGATATTACAAATCACTCAAAGGAACAAACTAATCTCACCAACAAAGCTCTTAATCTCTCCAAATAAATCATAATCAAATAGCTCAGAAAATACATCTTTCCTGTACTCCAAATATCCCAAATTCAAGCCTTACAAACCCTCAAAATCGTGTTCCTATTTATACCACAACAAAAACCCAAACAGAATCCAAATAGGAGCTCTAACTGTGCAGAAAAAAACCCGCTATAAGTCGACTTAACAAGATGTATAAGTCGACTTGGTAGAGAGAAAAACAGCAACTGGAGAACATATTGTAAGTCGACTTACCATTGACTTACCACAAGTCGACTTGACAGGCTTCACAAGTCGACTTAACAGAGTCAAAACCAACAATTCCAGAACAGAACGTAAGTCGACTTACCATCGACTTACCATAAGTTGACTTATGTCTGTGCATGAGTCGACTTATGACACGGAATCTGGACCAAATCTCTGATTTCTCCACAAGTCACAACTACGTTTAAAGAGCAAAATAAAAAAGGGCTCTAAATGACATAAGACAGCAAAACCCCAGAAGAGATCAATGAGGAAAAATTCAATGCTTGAAAGGGATTAAAAAAGACATGAGGGAACTAAAAGAGACAAAAACAATTGCCACGTAAGGGACAAAAAAATATCGTACTTACATTAGGAACGTTTTTAACATCTCAAGCTCATGACAAAGATTGAAAGGGTAGCCTCCTCTACTTTCAACTAAAATAAGAATTTTGGATGATGCAAAACTTAGCAAGTAGGAGTATAGATAGAAGGCACAAAATTTGGTTTCAATAAGGGTGGATCCATACTGTAAGCATATTGTGGGTGTCAAAGTGTAGACCCCACAAAATGTTGAATAAATTGGTCAAACATCAACTTGTCCAATAATAAAACATTGTTAGGAAGATGATAGTATTTTTCAGCAGTGAAGGAAGATTTCTGAAATTTTATTAATTTGAAAAAGTTGATTAAAGAATGAGGAAAGGGAGATAATTATAGTATGGGATAAAGAGAAATAATAAGAAGAGGAAACAGGTTACTAGACTTCTGAATCTAAGGTCCTAGCACGTGAAGAGGAAGAGAGAAGTCCAGCAAGAGGATATCTTTGAAGGGTTAGAAGATGTTTCTGAGTCAAGGTGTCATGTCGCTCTTAGTGTCTACTCCGCTTATACTAGAAGAAAGATGATCTAGGTGTCATGTGTCTGCACCTTTGAGTTTGTTCGAATTGAAAAAAGGCTCTCTTGTTCGGAATTGTTGAAAAAAATATGCAGGCTTCAACCTTATAGATATGTCCATGTGGGTTATAATTACCCCCTATGAACTTCTAACATTAATTGTCGTTTGTTTAACATCAGATGTTGCGCAAGGAGTTTTAAATTGTAAGTTCATTTTCCTAACCGAGAATGAAATGATTATAATGTTGTGATCTAATCTCAATTTTTTTTACTCCTTGATTTGTGAGGCAACGCATATGTACCATTTATAGCTTATACTTGGACATGCGTAATTCACCGCATTCTTTTTTTTTTCAATTTTTGTTGGGGTGATAATAACCATATTCCCACCTTTAGTATCTCCTTCACTAGGTAATCAAGAAACATCACACAGCTTGTGAAATTCCTTTCGTTCATATTCATGGGATGCTTTTAAAATAGGGAATTATAGGTGAGGATCTAAAACATGCTCTTTGTATATATAATACAATAATATAAAATATATTGAGGAAAGCAAATTGCAATCTTGTGTCAAGAGGGTTTGAAGCGAGCGTCAGTCATGTGACTGGTAAACCCTAAGCCCTGGGAAATCAAGTTTTGAGGCGTACGTTTTACCTTCCGGCCCTCGTGCATTTGATAATAGCAAAAGATGTGATGGATCTCGGGCCTCAAAACGATTATCGGACAGCGCTTCATCTGAAGCGTCTGGTGTCAGGTGCTTTGAAAGGCTTGATGACGCCCTCATCAGCATCGGGGTTAAACAATTACACAGATAGATAAACCATTTTGATCCTCTTCATATCGAGAAACAACTCGTCCTAATTTTTTGTAATCCGTATTCATTATGCGGACGTCTCGGTGACATCGGTGTTACAAAGAGACCTCAACATGCAATCCCTGTTCAAACATGGGTAACAACAGAACGAGAGCAGCTAGCAACGTAATTTCAGACAGCAGTGGCTTCATTCGTTCCTTAACTATTGTTAGAAAATAAAGCATAAATCTAGTTTAGCCATCAATTTTATAGAAAATTTATACATAAACTGGTGTGATAAAGCACAACAGGGAACAGCAAGTGAAAGAATTCACATTTGATGTATTGTGTATTTTCATCTTCTGCAGAGAATGTCACCTCTCCCACAACAAAGCTGTTGACATACATTTCATCAGGCCTAACATAAATTTTGATGAATATTTTTCATATTATGGTATCCACAACACATCCACCAATCTGTCAACTACTTTCTTGCCCCCATCTCCGTGCTTCTGGTATCTTTTTATGCTTGGAACTCGACCTAGCTGTTAATCTTTGGATAACCGACTACTTGATGCTGAAGGCTTCTTCTTGCCATACCTCTGTTTTCATCAGAAATGAGATGCAGGTTAAATGAAAGAAATGAGAATGAAACATGCAGTGTCTGATTCTCGAACTGACATTTCTGTACTTCTTGCTTCATGAATATTTTACGTCTGATTTTAGAACTGACATCTCTGTACTTATTGCTTCATGAATATTTTATGTCTGCAGACACAACATTATTTTTCAACTTTAGAGTGAGATGTCACATAATGATAAATAACCCTTTGCCCTCAGTTTAACAGTAAAATATATATTCTATAAATTGCCGGTGAGCAAATAATGTCATCCGGCGTCAAGGGTGTATAAATGCTAATAAATTTTTTTTCATATGGGGTATATAAGTGGCTACACCACCACAATACATGAGTGTACCTGCAACTTACTGTATAAATTATTCTGTGCAACAAATCTAACATGCAGTACTAATTATCAGTTGACTATAGATCAAAAGTGCTAAATCTGTCTGACGCTATTGGTCTATGTAAATACTAATGAAAATTTTTATCGCAAGCTGAAATAATGTGACACACAAATGTGTAATTTTTCTGGATAACAAGCATAAAGCACCCAAAAAAAAGAACAATTGGTCCAATATAGGCAACAGTATGAACATGTTGTTATGTGCAAACCTATAGGTCTGATGAGAAGTTTGTTTCAAATTCCGCAAGTTTCTGTCTCATTTCATATACAGGCTATCTTTGAAACAATCTTAGTTAAAACGTCAAAAGACAGTGGGCAATAATTTTTAGCATTAAAGCTAGATCTCACCTGCTTCCCAATGCTGAATGGGACATATTTGTACTTGATCATGTGTAGAATCTGGCGCTTCATGGTCAAGACAAAAAGAACAATCCAGTAGAAAAGTAGTATGGGCCAGAAAACTGGAACATCAAATATCGAGAAGAAGGTCATAAAAAATGCCACACAGAGGGCTTTTGTTATGGCGTACCTGAAACACAAAAGAAACTAGATGAGCAATGCAACACTTCAATTTCACATTTCCTTTATCTCCAACAAAAAGCTCTGATAATCGCTATTTTCTTCTTTCTTTCTTCTTTGTGTAAAAAGGTGTATATTTAGAACAAATGAGATATCATTGGTTCCCAAAGATTAAATAAACAGACGTGTGAAGTGGCATTATCTACATCATAATCCATCTTTAACAAAGTAAAAGCCATACTTTGCAGATTGGCTTACAAATATGAAAACTTGAGCTTATTTGATGATCAACACACAAATACCCCAACTCAATACGTGCAAATTAAACCGATTGTTACTTCAGAAATTAAAGTGATTGAAGTTCAGACAACTGCAGCATCTCTCAGAAACATCTCAGTTCGACAGATTTCTCAAGAGGCCTGATATCAACAGCGCAGAACTGTGCTTCCTAGTCTAATTAAAGGTGACGACAATCGAACGTTACTTGCTAACCAGGCAGCTTTACATCATCCAATCTTTTTCTATAGTCAGTTGAATTAGGAGTTCCTCCTTAGGTCCATGAGCTTAAACCATCTATAGCAAAAATTCTGAACTTTCAATTTTACTTTGACAAGGCTGCTAGTGTCAATCAGTTGCATACTAGCATAATTGCTTATAAAAGTTCGCACAAAGTTCATAGTCAATCATTCAAAAGTCATATTTTGAAGCCTTTTAAGTGTCTAACTTAGTGATCAAGAAACCAACAAAGAAGTGCAGCGACTACCTCGCTACCGAATAAACCAAGAGGTCGTGGCCAATTAAAAGCAGCAGTAGAGACTACGACGTTGCAAACCTCATGCATTATGACATTATAGTTTCTTCCTTAAACAAAATTTTCGAACCATTAGCAAGGAACTCAGATGATAGGGGTGCCATCAGTTCATACCACAGGATCCAAGCAATAACCCAAATCCCAGCCCCACCACCCAAAACATGAAAAAGAAATCACAGAAAAGGTCAGAAAAAGTCTTTCAGCAAGCTCATACGTCGTTTTTGTCACAGAGCTTTATACATATCATCCAAACAAGAGAACCCTAAGCCTTTCCCATATATGTTTTCCTTACACTAACACATGTCTGTTTGTAACACGTAATGTTCTTATGGCAACTTTTTCAAACGACCATTATTATGCTCAAAGCTCTTAGACGAATTAAATGCATAAAACAGGAATAATACTACAGTGCTCCAGATAAATAAAAACTCATGGTATTCAATTGGATGCCCACTAATAATATCCAGCATTTCCTACAGTACATCCTAGTCGCATTTCTTTTCTTTCCCAATCATAACAGATTCATAAATATAAATATTTTGGAACTGCATATCAACTAATGTTTAGTCAGCAAGCTAATGAAAGACTGTTAAGAAACTCACTAAAAAACTCCAGTTAAAACAACACAGATGCTGGAAATCAGTTACCAACACAAAATTGCACGACAAAAAATCAAGATTTTACGAGCAATTACCAAGAAACACAATGAACTAGTTACCTCCTATAACATTCATTCTATCAAGTACAAAACGTATATATTCATGCCCAACCCTCCCACATCCTAATGAAACTCTATAAATGAATCCACCTAATAAAAGGTCTAGATCCACTATTAAGTTGTCCTTGAGCAAATTAACATACTTGGCAAGTGAAACCAAGATGATTGTCATTGTTAGTGGGGTTTAAAAAGGACAGCATGCATGACCCTAACAATTGCATTAGCTTTTTTTAAGAAGTCCTGTTAAAACATCTGTTATATACAATTTGAACAAACAATGATTAGTGAATTTAGTGCAGTTTCTTCCAGTTAACTTATGCAGCCTGCTTTACCTTACATAGTTTGCCTTTAACAATGAACAATGAACACGATTGCCTGTAAGAAGCATTGTCCAATGCAATTTTGCAGGGCCACTAACCTCATGAACCATAAAATAGGTCATCCACCAATCTGCGCTTGGATATTACAAGCTTTGTGACCAGATCTTGGCAGAAAATCTTAGGAAGTCTGCATAATGTTACCAGCAAATTGTAAAAAATATATGTATATCAAGATCATCAAAACATGGGTAAAATCCACACCACATATCAGAATCAATATTTGATAGGGAAGGCCTAGAATATGATTATAGTGGTCATAGGTACTCAGCCTGCTATGTAACCATATTTTTATCTGGGATCTAGTCTAACCCAAGTAAGAATTGTATAAATCTCAATCCAATACAACCAGATATCTAGTACATGAAAAGTACGCAATAATACTCCAGGAATAGCATGCAAACATTGCAAAGTTACGTATTATCAAAATGTCAATGCATGATGTCCAAGTGTATATGGCATTCTCAATGTACTCCCTAACCAGAAATGTAACAATTGTGTAGATAAAAGAGTATGCTGCCAGTTTTCCAGAGAGAGAATAACAGAAGACTATCTATTCTAGACATAAGTATTTTTATCGTGTAATATGTACTGTAATTTGAAATGCAACACATATGCTCACCAATGACCTAGCAATTGTCCTGATATACAAAAGGAATTACAGTCCGTTATAAGAACTAGATAATGTAAACAGCATGAGACTGCAAAGCCCTAAGCACACATGACAGGCTACTTCATGCACATTTATTTGCTACTTATGATGTCCAGGTTTTCTCAAACTTTGCCAAAGACCACCATTTCTTGGCAAAATGAAACATTTAATAAACCTAGGTCAGAACAAGTTACCCCAGAGAAATTAAGAGAAAGTTCTAGAATATTTACAATAGCTTTTAACAAAGAAAGGAAATCAAATAGCAAGTAATATCTAATACAAATAAACAGAAATTAATAGTAATATGGACGACAAGCTATCACTAAAGACCAGATTTATACTATAATACAATGGATAAGCAAGGAGCACAACACTGGTGTTGGATTAGCTTCTCCAGTATGAGAAACCTAGCCTCAATAACCTCTACAAACATGGTAATTCAATTGCGCAACTCAATCCAAAATAATGCTAGCTTAAGGCCAAAAATAACTTTTGAGTGTTTGGTATTAAATTAGGCACTTAGAAATGAAATTATGTAATATAATGCGAACTACCAGAACATCATCTCACATATCTATATACTTGTGTCCATTTAGTCCCTAGAGAGTCAATGTGGAATCTATTAGAGATCTGGATTTTCTCCAACACCTAGGTTTTTAGGGTTGTTCTCCTAGATCTCTAACAAATAATATCAATGTCAACCTAACTTTTCCAGTTGCAAGCGAGCAGTGAGTCTGGTGACGTTAGCACTGTGATTTTTGATTGGGACTAGTCTAGTGCAAAGCCAAAGGGTTGACACCGAGATCACAATACTCAACCGGGACTAGACAAGTGCAAAGCCAACCCACAAGGGGATGCAGAGGCAATGGAAACATGGTGGTACGTTAGGGTCCACATTAACTAAATTAAGTCATGTTTGGTTTATTACATATTAGGGTTTTTCTCCTTTATATTTCACCCCGTTTGGGAGTTCAACAAAGGGAAGGGAAGGGAACCTCAAGTTCAATCTCAGCCATTGTATTTGATCTTGGAAGGATAATGTTATAGGATAATCTTATTTCGATCAATTCCCTTCCCCTCCCCAATTTGGAGGGGAACAAAATCCCACAATATTTCTCCCAAATTAACTTAACTTCCCCTCCATTACTCCCCTCAAATCCAATTACAAGAGTGAGTTCTTCTAGAGGTCTAACATTACATCGCCATGAAAGAAAGCATAACACAATCTCACGCATTTTCATTAACGAAAATCCTAAATCAACAGAATCGTCCTACCACCAAAGAAAACATTCCAACCTCAAGCATTCTCACGTTATCCCTGACCGTTTCATACTCAATGTAACTTAAATGCACTTATAAATCATTATAAAACCTAAATGCACAATATACACTACAAGATAAGCAGGAAATTACCAGAACTTGAACTCGGGCAGCCGGCGAATGAAGGGCTTGAACTCATCAGACCCCCTCATCGGCAGCGACGCCCCATCCAAAGCCTCGATCTCCGGATCCACCATCGGCGACAAGAACCCAATCAAGAGATTCAGCACGTAGATCCCAAGCCATACAAACTACATAGTAAACCCCTGCCAGAAATTAACCCTCAAGCAAGTAGATCGCCGCCACCGTAGCTAGGGTCCGACCCACCGGCGACCGACGTGTGCGCGTCCGACCCGTCCAAGTAGTACTGGAGAGGCGCGGGAAATAGTCGCTTCTCTCATTTCGCGAAGCGGATCACGTCGGCGCGGTCGTATGGAGCCGAATCCATCAGAAAACTGCGGAAAACCCCTAATTGTGGGGGAAAGAAGTCAATCGAAGGGAAAGTGTCCTACGTTAGGTTTCCTGGTCGCCGTTGATGGAGATGGTTGATTAGGCCTAGGGTTAGGGTTTAGATTTGGTCACTTTATTATTTTGAGGGGATGAGATGAGATGAGATGGGAGTAGGGGTGAGCACGGTTCGGTTTGGGTCGGTGTTTACCAAAATTTGAACAACCGAACCGAACCACATACAATTCAAAACCGAACCGAACCATTGCAAATCGGTTCGGTGCGGTTCGGTTCGGTTTGTTCGGTTCTAACTTCATCAAGTATAACAATCAAAGGCACAAATATATAAGCACCGTCTTATATTTGACAGAAACAACCCAGATCATTGAGTGTTTTTGTCTGAAGCTTTATGCTAATAAAAAACAAAACCCCCATGAGTTATCTTAAATTTGACCAGAAAAAATACAAATACAAATGAATTAGAAATAAGAAATTAGAAAAAAAAGAATTATTTTTGGGATTTTCATGCTTGATCAGCATTCAGAAGCTACAAGACCGAAGAATGGCCTAATGAGGAGTTCATTGCAAGATTTTTGTCTAGTGCGTTATAGACCCGAATGTACTTATTCGTCAAAAACTCACTTTTTAGCTAATTAAGCTGAATTCAAGAAGAAGATAAAGGATTTACCATGGACAAATAAGCAACAACAATTCAGCCACCATTTTTCTGCAAGCACGAACCCAATCACCGACAGCTGAAGAAAAGCTATGGCGATCGAATAAGTCATCTCCCCTTCCCAATTGCAGCTTCTCGAGAGAGAGTGAGAGAGATGGACCATGGCTGTCGGCTGAGGAGAGTGAGAGAGAGTGAGAGAGGCTGACCTCGGCTGTCGCGTGTGGCGGGTGGCGGCTGAGGAGAGTGAGAGAGAGCAAGAGAGAGGGATTGAGGGAAATGGGAAATTGGGAATGAGTAGCGGCGACTGGGACTAGGAGTCTTAGAGGAAATGAGGTTAGGGTTGAGGGTTTGGGACGGGTCGGGTAAACGGGTAGGGTTTGAGGCTTTTGAGAATATATTCGGTCGGTTCGGGTCGGGTCGGTTTGAAAAGTTGTCAACCCGACCCGAACCGCCTTATTCATAAAACCGCTTTTTTCGGGTCGGTTCGGATCGGTTCGGTCGGTTTTTTCGGTTTGAACCGAACCATGCTCAACCCTAGATGGGAGAGAGCCGAGGGGGAGGGGGGAGAGAGATGACGGTGGTGCGCTAATCGTGATTTCGAGAAAATTTTGAGGGCAAAAATGAGAAAGCATGTGCGCTAAACTAGATTCCAGGACTATTAACTTATTACTTAGGGGCTGTTTGGTTCGTTTCCTAGATATAGGGAAATACAATTCCATATAAAGAAACACAAGTATTTAGTTTTTCAAATTTTTTCAAGAAATAAATTGTTTTGTTTTGTTTCGCACATAAAAAATGGTGAGAAACCAATGTATTTACTTTTCTTGTGTTTGGTTCGCATGGACAAAAAGGGAAAACTTTTGTTGATATGACATTTCTCACTCTTCTTTTGTTTGTTTGGATGTTTTGAAATTTGTAGGGAAAAGTGTTTATGGTCACCATGATAAGATTACCCCCACTATATACAATTTTTTTTGGCTCGTAATATGAGGTAATCTTAATCATATAAAAGTTCGAATGTTTCTGTTTGAGATTGAAAAAATCACATGAATCCTGTAATAATAACCTGATTATTCATAAATTTATGTAGTACATGTCTGAATTACTCAAAAAATCTGCTGAAACCTATAAAAACATATAAACAACCTGAATAGCCATAAATATGTATATAACATAGCAAATCGCATCAAATCTGATAATTTATTGTTATGGTAATTTACCATCTAAAGATGAAGATACCGAAAGATTGTCTGTATAGGCTAAAAAAGGCCATGGTCCAAACCAGCTTAGAGGCTCAAAAGCCCAGACAATGGCAAGTCTATCGGCCAGTCAAGCGGACGAGTCATTTTTGACCAAGGGTCATCATTACCGACTCGAAGTGCGGGACCAATCGGTCCCTCGTAATCAAGACGACTCCTCAAGCAAACGTCTCAACTATACACTCGACTCGAATCTCACTCAGCTGTCGAGTCAGAAAATCACAAAGACAACTCACGAACCGACTCGCCTCTACTAAGGGGATAAGATCCATCTAAGCTCACCTCAGATGTCAATCAACACAACAACACTAATTAGTCCCATCAAGATCTCTGCTCTGACAAATCCCTGCATAAGCCGTTTATTCTACTCACAAGCCACTTCTCTGGGGTCGCCATGATGCTCTTCTGGGCTCGAATAACTTCCCCTCCAGTCACCAGCCACCATCTGGAGGGGGAAGGACAACCAAACAGTGGGCCTATCCTCTGCCCTGCCTCATTTGTCGAATCCAGGATACTAAGATAACACCTCTCTCATGTATTTGAATGACTTCCCTCCCAATCGCCAACCGACACCTGGAAGGAGAAAGATGACTCAGCCTCTAGCTCACCCCTCAACCGCCTCCTGTGCATAGCCAAAGCCAAAGGGTCAAACTCTCAGAGGCGATGGGCTATAAAAGGAGGGGGGAAAGGTAAAAATGGGAGGATTTTTCTGCTACTTCTTCATAAAAGCTCTGAATTTACCTTTACTAAAAAAGAACTAATAACTCTAAAAGAGTATCCTCTAAGGACCTTAATGGCCCAGGGACTCTCCCTCAAACTCCTTTCAAGCTCACCAGCTGACTTGATCATCGGAGGTACCACGGGGGAAATGAGCTCCGCCCTCCCACGGGTTTCTTCTTGTTTGTGCAGAAAAATCGAGAATTCCAGTCTGAGGATCGGGCATAAAGTCGGAGGAGGAGTCGGTCACATCTCTCATCCTCCCCCTATTCGCCACCGGCGCGAAGACCAGAACCACAACCCCATCGACTGTGTGTTCACGGACATCAACAAAGATCATGTCTTTAGGGATTTGATCTAACATTCTTTTCATCAATATCATGTCTTTTCTTTTTTTTTTTTGGATTTGATCTAAAATTCTATTCATCAAATTTTTTATCAATATCAAAACTAACTGGGGATGGGTTTGGAAAGAGATGAACTTGCCTTTATTAATCTTTAAAATTAGAATCTCTATCCGTTTCTGATCTCCGAAAAGCCAAAATCATCTCCCTCTTTTCCTCTGATCTCTCTCTCTCTCTTTCTCCTTCTCTTTTTTTTCGTTGTGTGAGGAGAGCGAAGGGGAGGGGTGCTTTTATATAGTGAGATGAATTTAAAAATAGGATTTTAGTCTCTGTTTTTAGAAAACAACAAAAATTTACCCAGAACACCGTCTTGAAATTCTAAGATCAATGATACAAATCTCACATCCATCTGATTAATAGAAAAATTACTAAAAATAAAATAGTAACATATTTTAGTAGACTCGCGATACCGATGTTGAAACTACGAATCGATCTCAAATTGATTCCAAACCAATCCATTAATTCCAGAATAATCACCAATCACAATAAAGCTTATTTAAAATTATTTTACAAATTTTTAGGATTTTACATCAATCCTGGGGTCGAATGCCTAGAACTTACTGAAGTTGACTAGGTCTTTTACAACCCTGAGGTTGTGCCTAGGACTTACTGAAGTCGACTAGGTCTTTCGCCCTATAGAGGATCGCCTTTGGATCAAAATAAGGAAAATGGCAACCCTGAGGTTGGGTGCCCAGGTCTTACGTAGACGCATGGGTCTTCTAGATCCCCATAATGGTCGAGAGGTAACTGTAGGAGTCGACCATATTGTTAGTGTCTTGGGTTTATTTCTCAAAAGGTACCAAGAATTTTTAATTCAACCATGGGGTCGAATGCCTAGAATTTACTGAAGTCGAATAGATGTTTTACAATCTTTAGGCTGTGCCTAGGACTTACTGAAGTCGACTAGGTCTCTCTGCCTACCATGGTCCGCCCTGGGGAAAAAATAAGAAAAATGGCAACCCTGAGGTTGGGTGCCCAAGTCTTATGTAGACGCCTAGGTCTTCAAGATCCCCATAATGATCAAGAGGCAATTGTGGGAGTTGACCATATGGTTAGTGCCTTGGGTTTATTCCTAAAAAGGTACCAAAGGCTTTTATGGTTGTTTTTTATGCCAAAATGGAAGACATAAGTCGACTTTGGCTTAATGACAATTTTATTATTGATGAACAAAATTGTACAATTTTACTGAGAATATTCCCTCAAGCACTTGTCCCGGGGATGTTGTAGAGTCCTTTCTTCTGGGACTTTTTAGTCGATGAACGTCTGGCTATGATTCTTCCAAGGCCACGTACAGGTCTCCCTTGTGGAGTTATTGCGGGTCACATGATTCTACCATAGAAGCTTAGGCAACTATTGTAATGGAATTCTTTTTAAGAAAGATATTCCAGGAGCTGGAGTTGTTTTTTTCCAAAAAGACAACCATGGTGGTTTTCTTGAGGAAGCTTTGAAGCTAATGGGAGATCTTCCATCCTATGGATGGTTAACTTGGCAGGTACTCCCAAAATGGTTGCTAAGTCTATAGAGGAAGAGGACAATGTCGATTCCTCTTAGCCAAAACCATTTTCTGCTTAGCTTGAGTGACACAACTTTGGACTCCATTTAGCTTGGGTGACATAACTTCAGAGTTGAGTTACAGGATGAGACTGATTAGGCCCTTGTTCAGAACCTGTCATAACTTCTCGAAAAAGAGAGGATGCCCCATGGTGGGCGCCAAACTGTTGATGTACTAGTGATCACGCAGTCAATATGTATCCAAAACAGGATAAT